TCCACACCTTTGCATAGTCAATAATACACAGGCAGACATCTTTCTGATGTTCTTTGCTTTCAGCCAAAATCTGACATCAGCAATGATATCCCTTGCTCCCCATCCTTTTTGGAATCCGGCTTGAATTTCTGGCAGTTCCCTGTTAATGTACTGCTGCAAATGTTTTTAGATTATTTTCAGCAAAATTTTGCTTGAGTGTGATATTAATTATATTATTTGATGATTTCCATATTTTGTTGGGTGACCTTTCTTTAGAATGTGCACAAATATGAATGTCTTCTAGTTTGTTGGCCAGGTAGCTGTCTTCCAAATTTCTTGTCATAAAAAATACAGAAATCCTTCCAACTAGACCAATAAGCAACATCATGATAAATGGAGAAAATATTGAAGTTGTCATGAATTTAATTTTACTTGAATCCACAATCAAGGCCCATGGAAGCAGCAGTCAAAAAATGAAATGGCGTGTTGCATTAGGCAGATAATGCTGCAAAAGACCTTTGTAAATTGTTACAGAGCAAGGATATCACTTTGAAGACTAAGGTACCCTTGATCTAAGCCATCATGTTTTCTGTAGCCTCATATGCATGTGAAAGCTGGACAGTAAATAAGGAGGACTGCTTAAATTGATGGATTTAAATTCTCGTATTGTTGAAGAATATTGAATATACCATGGACTGCCAGAAGAATGAACAAATTTGTCTTAGACGAATTACAGCTGGAATGCTCCTTAGCAGTGAGAGCGGCCAGATTTTGTCTCTCATACTTTCTTTGGTTAGGTTATCAGGAGGGACCTGTCCTTTGAGAAGGATATCATGCTTGGTAAAATAAGAGGGTTGATGAAAAAGAGGAAGACCCTCAATGAGATAGATTGACACAGTGCCTAAAACAGTGGACTCAAGCATAGTAACAATTGTGAGGATGGCACAGAACCAGTCAGTGTTTTGTTCTGTTGCACCAAGGGTCGCTGTGTGTTGGCTCAGCAGCACCTAACAGTGGTAATGAGCTGAGAAACTACATTCTTGAATTATATACCCATTTGTTCAGGTGGCTCACAGCTTTATGCCTGGCATTGTACTAGGGAATTAAGGGTATCCTGATGATGCTTACAGTTTAGGCATTTTTATTTTATTGTATACAAGTGATAATAACTAAGTAGTTACTCTAATTCCATTCTTCCTTAAAGCATTAAAGAAAATACTTATGAAAGTGAAGCATAAGTATGTATTTAGTAAATAACTGAGAACAGAATATTTTCTTGTTAAGGATGCTCACCTCTATTATCAAATGATTTGAAAAGAAATTATTATTTAATGGCATCAAAATTATCTAATTGTAAATTTTTGTTTTGGACTTGGTCCTGAATTGGGACATTGAGCAGTTAATTCCAGGAAGTGTAAGTTTTAATGGTCGGTTATTGTTTGCTATTTTTGGTTCTCTGTTTAAAGGACTCCCTTTAGTATCTCTTGTAAGGTTGGTCTTGTTTTAACAAATTCCCTTAATTTCTGCTTTTCTGGAAATCTCCTAATTTGACCATCTGTTCGAGGGACAATTTTGCCTGGTATATAATTCTTGGTTGAAAAATTTTCTCTTTCAGGGTTTTATATATACCATCCCATTGCCTTCTCACTTGCATGGTTTCTGCTGAGAAATCAAAGGTTATTCTTACTGGTTGTCCTTTGTTAAGTAACTTTTTGTTTTTCCCGTGCTGCTTTCAGGATTCTTTCTTTGTCTTTGGGTTTGATGAGTTTGATGATGATATGTCTTGGTGATTTTCTTTTGGGGTTGCAAAAAGGGCAGGGAGGCCACATATTCTGACCTCCTCTTATCCTGCAAAAGAAAGACAGAGTCATCATCAATACCCAAGGCCTATTCCTGCCAGGCCAGACATGCTATCTCCCTCCAGCCCTTTCTCTAACCATTCCTCCCAGAGCACCCACCACCTCTCTCCTGGGTTCGATAATTCGCTGCAGTGGTCACACAGAACTCACAGATTATGGGGTTTATTAGGGAAGCACCAGGCTACAATTTGAGTTCAGGAAAAATGCTCAGTCTCTCTCCCCAGCCCGCCATCTCTCAACCAAGTCTCTCACAGACTCCCTCCAGCAGTGCATGTCCCTCGGTGTCTTACTCAGCAATGTGTGTCTCTTGTGTCTCTCTCCCAGCAGCACGTGTCTCTTTCAGAAACGCACATCTCTTTTGGCAGCACGTCTTCCTCAACCAGCAGTCAGAGAGAGTTCTGCCTCTAGGAGGCCTCCTTTAGAGCTTGGCAAGGTGGCCAAACCAACCAATCATAACAACAGAATTCTAAGCACCTGAGAGAGAGCCACGCCCAACAGAAATAACACAGGTGGATAACATTTACAATCAGGAGCTCCTCAGTTGCTCATTCCACCACTGAGTTTATAATGACTTATGGGTAGAATAGCCACACTAAGTAATTTACTACATTGCACTACCACATCACCCCAAACGGGCATGGATAGTAGGATTTACAATACATCACAGAATGGAGGACAATGGCTAGAAGGGCCACATCAAGCAATTCACCGCAGTCTCTATCCTGTTCCCTTGTTTCTAGCACTTTATCTTGCTTCTTTGTGTGATGGTCTGTTGTCTCTGAGACATTGTGACATTGTTGTATTTAAATCTCTATTAACTGTTTGTGAAGAGCAGCTAAGGGTGAGTCAGGCTCTTCTTGGTGGTTGTTTATCATTGGCCCATCGGTGGAGAAGGAAGTGGTGACTATTACTCAGTTAAGTGAAGCTATAGAAGGTGTGGGTGTAGTTGTGTTGTATGGAGACTGTTGCTGTCTCACACTCAGACAAAAATAGCAATTGAATAACCATCAAAAAAGTAAAAAGAAATGGACAAAAAAACACACCATGTAATCACACAGGAACAGTAACAAAAAACACAGCGGGAGAAAAAAACCCTGCACTATCTGTGGAGAGGGCAATAAGAATAAAAGGTAGAGAAGGAGAATAAGGAAGAAAGAAATGGGAAAAAGGAAAAAAGGAATGGGGTTAACCACGAGAAAGAAAAAAAAAAAAAAATGCAACCAGGAACAGGGAAAAGAAAAAAAGCTGAAAACTAGAACCTGGGAGGGGAAGAATAAAGAATAATAATAAAAAGGACAAAAGTAATAATAATAATAGTAGTTTTAAAACAGACAAAAACAAACTGAAAAAAACATAAAAAAGAAAATAATTGGGACAGGGCACCCAGGCTCCATCTGAGCACACAAACTGGGATAGAATTCCTGCTAGCCTAGAAGGTAGGTGGGAATGAGGGATGGCTGCATCTCCATTCAGCAAGAGGGTGTGGGATATAAAAGTAACAAGGAGAATGTCGCACCTTTCTAGTTGTCCATGTCCGGAATGTTCTTGGGATTTCTGTCAAGTGGAGCCTGTTCTTAGGTCCCTGGAATCTGGGAGAAGGCTGTCGCTTTAAATATCCAAAATGATTGAACTGTTTGTAAACATTCAAAGTGGCTGCACACTCTGGACAGGCAAAAGTCCACAGCTCAGCCTGCCTTCCTCTTTGCTGCTTCCCTTTTATTCCCCAGCCACCAGAGCAGTCCTCCATGTAGTCCTTGGCCAGCAGGGCTGATTTTTAGGTTAATTCTTAGGTCCTGTCACCAATATCCAAGCTGTCTGTGCTGTCAGGAATCGCTGCCAGACCGCAGCTCATTATGTCTCCTTTTTTGGTGTTTTCGTGCAAATTCTTCTGATAGTTGGAGTTTAGTCTACTTCTGTATCCTTCCCTTCACAACTCACAGGTCTAGGATTATCTTCTGTATCTGTGTTAATTGGTTCCCCTTTTCTTTTGTTGAAGAGGGTCTGTGCAGTCTTTCTGCCTATTCCACCATCTTACTGGAACTTCCTCAAGGATGAGTTTTATGTTTTAAGTATTCTCTTTAGTTTTAATTTTCATTTTAGTGTTCTGCAAAAGGCTCTGCTTCAGATACTGGATTATTGCATACTTAATCCAAAGTGAAAGCAAGACCAAAAGTCCAGTGTTCCATAGCTTTAGGCTAGGAATTCTTACTATCACTAGAGTTTTGGAAAATCTCTCATAGAAGTAGTCTGCTTCACTTGGCAACTGTAAAGTGTACAATTGCTACCCTCCAGAAACCCAACCAGTTGCCATTGAATCTATTCCTATTTATGGCAGGCAGCCCCATGTGTTTCAGAGTAGGACTGTGTTCCATAAGGTTTTCAGTGGCAGTGATCTGTCAGAAGGAGACTGGTAGGTCTTTCTTTTGAGGTGTCTTTTGGTGATTTCGAACTGCCAGTCTTTATTTAGTAGCTGAGTGCTTAGCTGTTTCTGCAACCCAGAGTCTCTATGATTGTTGCCCATGCCTGGTAAATGATGGGAGTAGGGTAGGGTAGAGGAAGTAGCCTTATTTCTGATAGGTTCTGTCCAAATTAAAAGGATGCAGTTTTAATTAAATAGCCCTCAGTTTATTTAACTTGGCTTAGAAACTCTCTGCTGTCAAGTCGGATCCGACTCATAGCAACCCCTCCTTGGGTTTCCGAGGCGATATTGCTACAGAAGTAGATTGCCTAACCTTCCTTCTGAGGAATGGCTGGTGGGTTTGACCCGCCAGCCTTCTGGTTAGCAGTCACATGCCTTAGGGACTAATCCACCAGAGCTCCTTAACTTGGCTTACCATGCCATATTTTTCTTTCAGTTAGAAAAAGGCAGGAAGTATCTTTTTTTTTTTTTTTTTTGTAGCCATGTGTACAGTACTTAGTGAAAACATTTTATGGTAAAGGTTTGTGTGCTCCCTTAGTTGCTACAGTCTGCGGCCTACTGAGCTTATGTTACCAGATGAATAACTAGTCCAGATGGCTACACTGAGAATATAAAAGGAAAACCCATTTTAGAAAACTATCTTCTTTGCTCATTTTTGAATGAGATCTGTTCTAATTAATTGTGACTTTCTTAATTTGTTTTAATATTTAAGTTTTAACTACATGTTTTCTTGATTTTTACCTAGGTTGCAAAATATCCTCCTATGCTTGAGACCTACAGACTACCTGTCCTACAGGAATTAATCAGTGGTTTTTCATCTTCTGGAGATATATTAGAAGCATAAATATGGTGCCAAAAGAACTGCTTACCTTTCTCTGACTACGGTTCATTTGGACATACTCTTCTATTGAAGAGAGGCATATAGACTGAGGATACTTGTTTTCCAGAGACTTTGTCGTGTAGGATCATGGACCATCCCAGTAGGGAAAAGGATGAAAGACAACGGACAAGTAAACCCATGGTACAAAGGAGTACACACTGCTCCCGACCATCTAGCTCATCAACATCCTCTGGGGTTCTTATGGTGGGACCCAACTTCAGGGTTGGCAAGAAGATAGGATGTGGGAACTTCGGAGAGCTCAGATTAGGTAAGAACTTGTTGTGTCAGTGGCTTCTACTATCAGTGATAACAATAGCTGTGATAAGCTTTGGTGTTTCTCAAGACAAGCAGTTTATATTTTTATGAGAAGTTTTTCATAACTAGGACCTGTTGTGAGAATGAGAAGAATTTGTGAAGAGGACTATAGTCATTTTTAGTTATAATTGTTATCTGAGGTTTAGCTCTCTTTATGTGGGATAGATAGACTTTAAAATTTTCCAACTCTGAGATTTTATGATGCAGAGAGATCTGCAGACAGATAAAAGTAAAATACAGATTGATTTAGTAGTAGGTCTGAGGTGAAGCCCTAAATTCTGCACTTTCAAGAAACCTGGAGGAAATGCTGTTGTTGTAAATAACAAATTTAAAAATTTAAAAATGTAAATGGCAAATAGCCATCGAGTCGATGGGAGCTCTGGTAGCATAGTGGCTAAGGCACTTGACTGCTAACTAGAAGGTTGGCGGTTCAAACCCACCAGCCACTCGTCGGAAGGAAGATGGAGCAATCTACTTCCGTAGTGATACTGCCTTGGAAACCCAAGGAGGGGTCGCTATGAGTCGGGTCCAACTTGATGGCACATAACAACAACAACAAGCAGGAAATGCAGATGCTGCTGTTTCTTGAACCATACCTTGAGTAAGGCTTTGATTTAATTCAGACTATATTCCTGAAAGGAAAGAGAGTAAATCCTTGCTCAGGAATACCCAGACTTAGTCTGAAAAGATAAGTTATCTGAAAAGTTCAGAGAGGTTATTTGAAAGATTCTGTGTTTGCATTTCTTCCTTGAGATCTCAACATCAAAATTGAGTTAGAACTCCAGAGGAGAAACTATGCAATTGTATTTCCCAACCATTTAAATGGATTTTTTTTTTATTTCAAGTTCTACTTTATGGGTGAGATGAATAGTGACAGAATCATCCAGTTTGAAGAGGTGAGGTTGAGATTAGAGGGTACATTGTATATTTATATACTTTTTTATGGCCCTCCTAGGTGAGTGGTGGAAGAGAAAATGAAAGGCCTTATAAGTGTATAAAGTTGGAGATCATCTTGGAGAATGAGGAGAGGTCTGCTTTAAGCTAAAATGTTTTCCTCTTCTTCATAGTTGTTGAGAGTATGAGTTACTATGAAGAGATACTGTTAGAGTCTTTGGCCCTTGGGGGAACAGGAGGGTGGGAACATAAGATGATTATTGCTTATTACCTATGCTACTTCTTATGATCTTGCAAAAAGAGATGGAAAAAGTCTTAACTTCTGATCCCCCATAGAGAGCCTCAGGGAAGCATCACTATACTAACCAGATATCACTAGGTGCAGAATGAAATTTAGAGATACTGAGAATATATTTTCACTAATAGAAGGCTGGCAACTGAGAATTTAAAGACCTGTCTAAGATAATGAAAGGCTTCTTGTATTTAGAGATGTTTCATGTTCAGGTTAGAAAAGCCAGCAGAAGCTACTGAGAATAGGAGTAAGATATGTAATTTTATACTGCTTGACTTCCTAGCAAGTACCAAGTTGCTTTAGCAACTAGTGAATATTCATTTATGTAATGGATTGACTTTGTTCTAACATCACAGTACTTGAATTAAATAGAATTGTTGCTGAGAGGTAGTCTCTAATATATACAAATTTATGCACTCCCAGAATATCAGAAATTTGTTTAATTTTTATAAAAATGAAGAAAAGCTTTGGTAAATGGAAACTGAAAATTTATTTTGTCTAATTAGGCCTAAGTTTGTATTACATATATGGTTTTAAAATTTACCTGGGAATGGAAAAATCCATTCTGCTAAAAGGATAAATTGGTAGCCCACATATATTTTCAGAGTGGTAGGATATTGGGTTTTATTTCTTTTCATGGATTGACGATAATTTTGATAATTCTCATTTTAACTTGCCTAATAGTCAGTAGGAAGAACTCATTCTTTTCATTCTTTCTGAATGGTTTTATTCTTGCGTACTTCTCAGGTTTTCATTAGCTCTGGGATTATATCATTATAGCATTGTATCATCTGGCAATATTTTTTACCAGCAGAAAAGGAACTTTCAAAATCATTTAACATTTTCCTAACAATAGAATGGGCTGTATACTCCATTCCATCATTTTCTTGCTCTAGTATTAGTGAATAGAAGATTGTACAGAGGACAGAAGATGGAAACTGAGAAAATCCAAACTCAAGGCAGATGCAAGTTGGCTTCCAATCATGGCTACAACCAACAAAGTTCTCTTTCTCCTCTAGCCACACTGTCTCTTCTGTTCCTCAGATAGCCAAGTGCGTTTCTGCTTGAGGGCTTTACACTTACAGTTCCTTCTGCCTACAAAGTTCTTTTTTTAAAATTTTGCATAGCTGGCCACTTCTCATCCTTTAGGCCTCAAGAGTATATGATACCTTTTCAGAGAGACTATATGACTCCTATACCCCATTTAAATTAGTACATTTTTCCTTTAGCGACTATATATCCATTCAGACTACTTTATTTTATTCATTGCATTTATCTCTATTTGAAATAATTTTATGTTTACATGTTCATTGTTGCCCCTTACTTGGTTATAGCCCCTTGGAGGGCAGGGAGTGTAACTTTATTGCTTATTGTTGTTATCTGTTAGATGGAAGAACAGATATCTAGATGGATAGGAAGAAGGGGGTAAAAATCAAGCATGGAGCTCTTTGGGCTCCAGTAGTGTGGGGATGGTAGTAGGACTGTGCCCATTGTGTTTAGGTAGATCCCTGGATTCCAGACAAAGAACCCAAAAAATTAATATAATGATTTGTGCATTTTGGTTCTCTGCAAATCTGTTTCTACCTCATCATCCATTAACCATATATACTTTAATTTACTAATTTTCATATTCCCATTTCTTTTTACTGTGTATACCATATAATTGTTAGCTGATGTTGAGTTGCCTTGGTGACTCCATGCACAACAGAGCACAATGTTGCTCATCATCATGATGATCATTACAGGTTAGCCTGTTGTGATATGTAACATTCACTGGCTAAGTTTTGATTGTAGATCACCAGGCCTTTCTTCTAGTTTTTCTTAGTCTGGTTGTTGTTGTTCAGTGCCGTCAAGTCGTCTGTGATTCATAATGACCCTGTGTATAGCAGAATGAAACACTGCCCAGTCCTGTGCCAGCTCCATGATCCCTGCTATGCCTGACCCCATCGTTGTAGCCATTGTGCCAATCCATCTTGTTGAGGGCCTTCCCCTCTTTTGTTGACCTTCCACTCTACCAAGCATGATATCCTTCTCCAGGGAATGGACTCTTCTGACAACATGACCAAAGTAGGTGAGACGAAGTCTGGCCAGTCTCACTTCCAAGGAGCATTCCGGCTGCATTTCTTCCAAGAGAGATTTGTTAATTCTTTCAGCAGTCCATGGTATTTTCAGCATTCTTTGCCAGCACCACAACTCAAAAGCGTCAACTTCTTCTTCGGTCTTCCTTATTCATTGTCCAGCTCTCCACATGCATGTGAGGTGATTGAAAATACCATGTCAGGTGTATCTTAATCCTCAAGGAGATGTCTTTGCTCTTCAGCACTTGAAAGAGGTCTTTTGCAGCCGATTTGCCCAGTGCTATACGTCGTCAGATATCTTGACTACTGCTTCCATTGGCGTTAGTTGTAGAACCAAGTAATAGGAAGTCTTTGACAACTTCATTCTTTTTTCCATTTATTGTGATGTTGCTTATTGGTCCAGAATGTTTGTTTTCTCTATATTGAGGTGTAATCCATACTGCAGCTGTATTCTGCAGTCTTCATCAGTTAGTGTTTCAAGTCATCCTCCCTCTTAGTAAGCAGAGTTGTGTCGTCAGCATATTGAAGGTTGTTAATGTTTTCCTCCATTCCGTTCTTCTTCATATGGTCCAGGTTCTCAGATTATTTGCTCAGCATGGAGATTGAATAAATATGGTGAAAGGATACAACATAGTCTCAGTGGTTCCACCAGGCTCTATCAGACCAGCAAACCTGGCCCCCCTTTTTTATCCTCCAGATGATTTAGAGTTTTCTTCCACATTGTTCTCCCTCTCTGTCAAGGATCTCCTAAATAGATTCCCCTCCAAGTGGTTGACAGTGGTAGCCGGACACCATCTAGTCTTTTGATCTCATAGTCCTATAGGCTGCAGATCGGATGGTGTACCAGTTGCTAGGACTAATTGTTTCCATGAATTTTTGGTTTTCTTCATTTTTCTTTGCTCTGGACGAGGAGAGACCCATCATTGCATCTAGATGGCTGCTTGAAATCTTTTAAGATCCCAGTCACTACTCACCAAAGTAGGAGGTGGAACAATGTTTTGTGCAGTATGTTATGCTAGTTGAGCTTGATGTCTCCTGTGACTCTGGTCCCGTGCCCACAGGTTCAACTACTCATTCCCTTTGGGTAGCTGGCTGAGACCAAGAAGTGACTACAACCTTGCCCCTTGTCAGCTCTCCTATACACCTGGGAATTCAGATCATACAAATAAACTTATATGACCACTTTCTGCCAACCCTATAATCGTCTTGGGTACACTCCTCACTTCATAGACATACCTACTAGTTCAGCCTGTCCACCCATCTATCCACTCATATACCCATGTTTGCCTTCACTGACAATGCAGTACTGTATGTGCAAAAAGGTTCATCTTTGTTGTCTCTACTTCCCATGTACCTCTCTATGTCTTTCTCTTCTTCAGTGCTACCATGTTGATCACTCACATTTGGTACATTGCCCTTCTCTTCACCCAAATCAATATCAGTGTCTCTTCTTACATCCATATTGTTTTTTTCTTCTTTTCCTGTCTTTTTAATGACCTCTTACTTTCTTCATGGATGATGTTGTTGATGTCATACCACAATTCTTTTGGTTTTTGGTCATTGGTATTCAATGCATCAAATATATTCTTTAGACAGTCTCTAAATTCAGGAGGGATATATTCAAGGTCATATTTTGGGTCTTGTGGACTTGTTTTAATTGTCTTCAACTTCAAGTTGAACTTGCATGTG